CCTATAAATGTCTACTAGACATTCACAGTTTCGCATTACATACCTCCATTCGACATCCATTAAATATATTCATAGATATCATATGGAGCAATCATAGATGTTCCATAGATATTTCATAGAGCTTTGATGGATTGTAGTTTCAATTCGTCATTAATAAAATTATTTGGAAGTAAAATCACAAATATGATTGCGAGATAGTCTTGTTTATGTACACCAGGTCACACAAATGCCTTGACATATGAAGTTGCACGGATGTCAAGGCATATTGAGTCGGCGTGTTCCGACTCTACATATTTTTACATTATAACTATGGTTATGAACACAGCGGCAAAGCTGTTTTGACTGTTTCAAAGCAACTGGAGCAATTGACAAATAAAAGTTAATATTTATAATATCAATCAATTGCTCCAGTTGCTTTGAAATAGCCAAAACAGCATTGTCATTATGTTCATAACCAGTCATGATGTAAAAATATGTAGAGTCGGAACACGCCGACTCGATATGCCTTGACACCCGTGCAACTTCATATGTTAAGGCAGCGCTCGGAATTAGTTGCACATTTCGAGCCGATTTCCGAGACGACGCCTCCTGTTCCCCCACTACCGCCCGGCTGCTGGCGGCCGAGCCGCCGATAGCTCTGGCGCAGGAGCGTTTTATATAAGAAATAAGCTGGGTTTTGTTGAGGTACCTTTCAGAAAATAGTAATATTTTCTTTATTACATAAATAATGTTTATTTTCATTAATAATTAAATATATATATTATGTATTAATAAAATAAACATTATTTATGTAATGAAGAAAATGTTACGATTTCCTGAAGATGCCTAAACAATCCAGCCTATTTCTAATATAAAACGCTCCTGAGCCAGAGCTATCGGCGGCTCGGGCTCCAGCGGCCGGGGGGTAGTGGGGGAACAGGAGGCGTCGTCTCGGAAATCGGCCCGAAATGTGCAACTAATTCCGAGCGCTGTGTTAAGGCATTTGTGTGACCTGGTGTACATTTTTAGTACATTTGAATATTCAGTGAACATTTATGAAATATGTAAACAATATGTTCCTACTGCTGATTTTAACATATTCTGGGCAAGTTTAGAATATTCTTTATAAACAAGGACATATTCTACAGACATATATAAATGATTTCTTCGAGAATATTCTTATAAAATATATTTGATGCAACATAGAATATTCATATAATATTGTGTGTTATCTGGGAATATATGTTTTACTTGTATATTTTAACTAATAATTCGTAAAAAATTTTTTAAATAAAATGAACTATTCATCTATATTTAACAAAAAATGTAAAAGTATTTTCTTTGCAGGTGACGGAAGTAAAAGTATTTCCTTTCCACATGTTCGTTTCACAAACGTTTTACAAATGTTTTACAAAAAACAATCAAAAAAACATTTTTTTAACCACGTGCGAAAAAGATGTATTTTTTCTCACGGAATTAATAAAATAATACATTCATATATATGAATATATAATTAGAAAAAATTCTCATATAATGAGAAAAAATACATTTTTTTTGCACGTGCATAAAAAAACGTTGTTTTGATTATTTCTTAAGCATTTTTTATCGGAAAAATAACGTTTCTTCTAATTTTTCGGATTGACATTTTAACCAACAAGAAAGGTTTTTAAGAACCGTTATAAAACATTTCGAAAAAACATTTGTGAAACATTTCTGAAACGAACATGTGCTACCTGGGCTCTGTTTGTGACTATCAGAAGTCTACGTATTCTTATAGTTTGAAATTGATTCGACTATGTTGAAACAAACCCTTGGTTTCTTAAATAGGTTTTGTATAATACAAAATAAAAATGGATTTAATATAAATAATTTTAATGAAAAAAATTTTAAAATATAATTAACACAAAAACAAAACAAATTATATATTAGTGTAGATATATACTTTTAAGTGTTGTAATAAATTCGAATTAATTAAAATTCAAATTATGTACGTGTTCTCACGTTAGTACGACATGAGACATTGAAACACTAAGTAAAAAAAAATTAATATTACAATTTTGTAAATATAAAAGACAAAATTGTAAAAATAAAAGACAAAATTGAGTTTTAAAAAAATAAATAAATCCAAAGGACAGCTACTTAAAATAAAGGACGTAATATCACCGTACATATACGTAACGATAGACGTATACATAACTTAATATTTTAGATTGGAGCGGTATGAAACATGATTGAAGCAAGCGACGCGAACAAATCTTATGTATCGTATACCAAGTTTATAATTTACAATAGTACAATGCGTTATACGCGTTCGTCCGCGTATATAAATTGTGCGTTGTACTGTTGTAAAATATAGACGGTATATGATACACAGCACGTATGTTGGCTTCTCTCATTTTTCCGCCTGTGTCTACTTAACCATTCGGTTTCTGACGTAATCGGATATTAACAGACCTGGCTTCTAAAAAATTGCCAATATTCTTAGAACCATTCTACAATGCATTGCAAACGCTCTGTATTATCAGAAATAACCAGAAATAGCACTTTTCAATTAGTAATTGCTATTTTTGCAACCGTCAATGGAACATTTGCGATGCATTTTAGAATGATCCTTAAGGATTAATCTCATTACTAGAAATTTCCTATTACAATAAGTAATACTTTACCCATTTTTTATTACAGAATTACAGGATTACAGGATTATAGGATTACAGCAAGAAACAAGTTATACAAGTTTAATAACGGACATATTTGCCGTTATTGTAAATTCCAAGTTCTTTCTCTTTATTGAACTATTTCTACAATGGCTACAATAATGTCTATGCCATTTGAGTCGATTAAGATCATCTTGTCTGAAGAAAGCATCAGCATTAAGGATATTATGAGTTTCGCTCTCACATGCAAGAAGTTTAACGCATTAATTAATTATCCCGACAATGTGTTTTGGCGAAATAAATTTTATCAGGAGTATTTTTTTACATTTGTTTTTGTGCAAACTAGCGTTATTTATTATATTCATAATGTAAATTTAGTGATAAGCAAATTATCTTATTTTTTTACCTTGAACAAATTTTTTTATTTTATTTAAAATTTGACATATACTGAGTCGGAGACA